GGAGAAAAAAAAACAAAAAACAGATGAGGTTTTATGTTTGGAATTTGTTGCAAATTCCAGAGCAGGATTACAACAGTAGAAATGGGTGTGTAGCTGTGAAGACGCCCCTCGATCGATCGAGGGTTCCTACAGGAAGTGCTGCTGTTTCTGACCTTCAAAATAAAACAAAACCAGAGAAAAAACTTTGACTCAGACTTCTGGAAAAGACTAATTAAAGTTAATGTTTAACGAGGCTCCGTGTGGACGCTGAACTCATCAGGCAGGCTCTCACTTCTGGAAAAGACTCATGAATTAAAGTTAATGTTTAACGAGGCCCCGTGTGGACGCTGAACTCATCAGGCAGACACTGGTGCATTATGGGGAATAACTCCCCCCCCCACACACACATTCATCATGTTGAAGTCCCTACAGCTCCGACAGCAGAGTGTTGTTCTGGTTACATCATCTCTGCCTCTGATTCCCGGCGAGGCGTGAAGTGAACGCTGCGAGACGAGTCTGGATGTTTTATTCACCACGTGTTGTTCATTGTTTCACAGCTGCTGCAGGTCACAGCACCCGGGGTCAGGGGTGTGTGTGTGTGTGTGTGTGTGTGTTACCAGAATTGTTTTATGCATTTAATGTGACTCATGCAATTTTGTTTTTTAGCGACTTCCTGTTGAGGTTTTTTATTTGTAACTAATATCATATCAGCAGTTTGTAATTTGGAAGATGTTTTTAATTGGTTTTAAAACAGCGGTTCCCAAAGTGGGGGGCAGGAGCCACAGAGGGTCGCAGAGAGGCAAATCAATTTCAAATTCAATATTTTCTTAATTTGTGGCAGAGAATGGAAACCGTGGAGATTTGTATTTTTGTTAATACATATTTCAGGTTTTGACAACGCGCCCCCACACCATGCTCCCCCCCTCAGTTAACCCCCCCACCTCTGGATGTGACATTAGACAAATTCAAACAATAAAAACCAAAGTGTATCTTTTTTTTAAAATTTTTTTCACAGAGTTTCTGTTTCTTTCTTAAAGTTTTTTTTATTATTATTTTTTACATCAATTGAAATCATTCTTTTGTTTCTGTTCATCAATAGTACATGGACATAAGATCGTAAAGTTTTTCTTTTAAAAAAAAAAGGCAACACAACCCATAATTCACTGTGTTTTTACAGAAAATGGTTTGGAAAAAAAATGATGCCTTAAAACCTACACTTCATTAAAACTAACCATTAAAGACTAAATGTTAATTACAGTGTTTATATGTTGTTGTTTCCCCTCAGTTTGTAAACAGACAGTTTGGTTACAAGTGATTCGAAGTATTTCCTGTATCTCTGGCACCGAGTCGTTGCCGTGGTGACGTCTCCGTCCACTGCATTTCTGCTCAAATAATTCAAAGATTATTATTAAAAAATAAAAACGTCCACCTGAAGCCCACGTGACCACACTGACCTCCATCTTGGTTTCACCTCCATCTATTTATTACAGTTACTACGACGCTCCTCCTGTGACGAACGACAACAACAACGACAACAAACTGAACAAAACAATCCAACAACAACGATCGTGATGACGTCAGTCATGCTGTCGGTCACTCACTTCATGACACGCTTCATCACGTCGGAACAACAGGACGGTCGCTGACCTCAGTGATGATGATGATGATGATGATGATGATGATGATGATGTTTTTTTATTCCCAGCTTTAATAAAAACTCTGATGTTTGACTCGTGGGGCAGAGATGAAACTTCATTCATGACAAACGTCAGTTTTTAAGGTAAATAAAAAAATCTAATTTTCTGGTAACATTTTAACTTTTGTGCTTATTCCAAAAGAAAATCTAATAAAAAAACAACAGACATCGCAATAGTCCCGGTCAAAAAGAGGGTGGCGCTGCAGAGAAAGTTTGGAAATCACTCTATTAGACCAGTGGTTACCAAGGTAGGGGGCGGGGCCCATCCTATGGAGCTTTTGTTTTAGTATTTTCTAAATTTACAGGGTGGTTCAGTTGGACTGACTTTAATTTAATTAAAATAATTCATGTGTCGACACACCAGTCCTATCTACAATAGGGGGCGCTACACAAATTGTTTGGACACCACTGTGTTAGGCCCCTGACCAGACGAACATTCTTTTGTTTATCAATATTCATGATCATCAACGCAGAAGAAGGAAGTTCAAAATAGAAAGTCACGGAAAAAACCTTGAAAAGAAAAGTTGTCTTTCTCCAGAAATCGACATCACATTCACTTCAGTCCAACATTCCTGTTTATATGAACCAGCAAACTCTTTTTTAGCACCTGATTTCTGTCATTTTTACAAAAGGCCACATGAGAAAAAACAAAGACCAGAGACTGGACTTCACATCAGGAACAGAGAATGTATCATTTAAGTGAAGATTTTTGTCCAATAATCTCAGCCGATCGACGTCACCGACCTGATCTCCTTTAATGAAAACCCGATAACGCGACACTTGGGTTTCACCAAATGATCTGTGCCCTAAAAATAGTTTTGGGGAAAAACGGCTGTAAGTAAAAGTGAAAGTCACTAGATGGCAGCATTGCAGCTCATTTTATTAATCTATTTTAATAATCAGGGGATTGTATGCAGAATGCTGGTGTCAGCAACTCATACAGTGGTTTGAACAGATAAGTAAATAAATATTACATGGGGCTGAATAATATTTCAATTCGGAGGAATTAGGTGTTTGGACAATATCGGCGTAGCAAATATCGGCAAAAGGTTAATATCAAACCTCCCTAATTAATACTGTTAATGACCTGTTAAAGTTACCGTTAGTAAACGTCTCCGTCGTCAGAAGTGTGGAGTCATCATTTTTAGGACTCAGTGCTGCTCCCAGTGGACGTCTCATTATTCCTGGTCAGTGATGCCAATTGCGTTTGACTTCCCTGTCAGACTTGGCAACGTTGGAGTTGTTTTGTTTTGTTTTCGTTTTTTTTTTCTGGGGATAAATCAGCTGTAATTCTCTGAGGAGCGGCCTCCAGAAAACAAACTCAACTGTCGGATTTGTTTCTTGGGAGAACGCGGGGAAGGAAGTCTTGAGTGCATCGCTGCTCAGGCCCTAATGAAGGAGGAGGACGTTTAAAAAAACCCTCGTTCCAGACTGGGTTCAGCTCAGACGTGGAGGGAAGTTCCTGCAGCACGGGGTCGTAAACATAATTAGGCTCAAGTCTCGGAGAACGTTTCTCTGTTTCCTCGCGTTTGATGTCGGAGCGAGTGGAAGCAAATTAACGCCGTGTGTTTTTCCGAGCAGAACAAAGGCAGAAAGGAGTGGTAAGGAACAAGTAAGAACACGAAGACGAGAAAGGAGATCAGGAGGAAGGAAAGAACGTTTGGAGCGTGGAGAGTGACGAGTCTGAGCCTTCATGGTTTATTCAGAGAAAACAGACTGGACTAACTGTTAAGTTATTTGTTTACTTATTAACTGTACTAGTCACTAAAATGGACGTTTATACTGTCATCTGTGCTACACCCGTCAGCTATAACGTAATAATCCCTGCTCATTATTGCCTTGTAGCCGATAATCAGACGTAGACACGTGACCACAGTCGACCAACAGCGACACTCTGGGTCTCACACGGTTCCTCTGACGAAGAGAATGGATGAGAGTCTGTACAGGTGCTCCGTCTCCGAGAGTCAAAGAAAGAAACGAACGAAAAGAAAGAAAGCTGAGTGTGATCTGGAGCCTGGCTGTGCTGGTCTACACCGAGCCTGGAGCCTGGACGTGCAGGAGACCACCACAGCAGAGTCTGAGAGAGAGTTTGGTCTGTGGAGCTCAGCTGTGCTCACACAGTCTGTCAGATGTTCCTTCAGCTCCACCAGCTGGACCTCCTCACACCGCGGCCTTTACGTTTGAATCATTCTGTCTGTCCTCGGACGGCGCCGCAGCTGGAGACGCTCTGTCCTACTTCAGGAGCCACTGGTTCACTGAGGAGGACGAGAGAGAGAGGAGAGAGAGGAGAGAGAGGAGAGAGAGGCACCGTCACCCTCACCCACAGGAAGTGATGAAACCAACCACACTGGTCACTGGTGCTAATGGTTCAACTTCAAATGTAAACAGTTTCACATAAGCTAGCACTTAATTTATCGCAATTTATTAATCGCAATTAATTTATCGCAATTTATTAATCGCAATTAATTTAACACAATTAATTAAATTTAATCAAATTTTAATTTCCAATTCATTTGGTTTGAAGTCACAGACGTACAGGACAAGTGAACTCTCAGCGTCTTCGTTAGCGTCAGATGGATTTCCGTTAATTGTTTTGTTTGAACAAATGATGAAGAATTGGAACAAAAAATAATTAATTAGAGACTTTGTACGTAATTAATTTTGATTAATCACTTGGGTATCAAAGGTTGGATGTGAGAAGGTTTTCAGTTCAAATGTAATTGGGGGGAGGGGGGTCAATAGTCCTATATATTTGACTGTATGTTTCGTTGATTTAACTGTTTGTTGAACCAGGACCAAAGTGATGGAACTGAACAGCAGGGTCTAACGAGGACAACGTAGTGTTGTTGTTGTTTTTCCTCAGGATCTTCATCATCATCATCATCATCATCATACATGTCGACATTTGCACCGCGGGACGTCTACGTCTACATGTCGACATTTGCACCGTGGTCTTATTACCAGGAGAGAATGATCAGACCCAGCACCGGTACAGAGGTATCCCACGGTGCCTTGAGAAGTAAAGGTCAGAAAGTGAGCGGCCCGGACCATAAACCACGGGCCTGAATGAACCCAGCGGGTGAGAGGAGAAAGCAGGAAAAAAAAAAAAAAATGACAGGGTATGTAGATGATATAAAAGTTTGTCAAGGAGAAGGCGTGATCCAGGGATGGACTGGGACAACTCCATAAATCACCGCCGACGTCCTGGGCCCAGACCGGCCCACTGCACAACCTACAAGTTCATCAGTCATCTGGATTTATTGAATCACACACACACACACACCTCAAAACAGAGAGGAGGGTGGGGTGGGGGGGGACTAACAAAGCCAAAGAATCAAGCTAGGAGCTGGAGCTAACGCTGACGCAACAAACTTGTCCTGGTCTCTTCAACCGTGACAGGCAAAACAAGTAAACACTACTCCACTAGGGGGCAGCAGACGGCTATAAAAAAAAAATTGTTTGTGTCTTTTTTTTCAACTCCTGCAGGTACATCAGTGTTGTGTTCAACTAAACAGGATCAGGTTTTACTCTACACACTGATTCCTAACAAAGTGCCATAAAATACATTCACAAATATATATTCTAATAATCAACCAGAACAGTCTTTCAATGGGCTTGTCTTCACCTCTCCCTCTCTCTCTCCCGCTCTTTCTCCCCCGCCTCTCACCCCCTTCTCACTTTCTTTCACTTCCCACTTCAGGAAACCAAGGCTCTGAGTGTTTTTCTCTCGTGGAGACAGATTCGTGCTCTCGCTGATTACAACACAATCGACATCCTCAGAAATATTTTGTAAATTTTTTTTCAGTCGCTGCCAATAAAACCCTCCCACGTTTCACACTTGACCTCTAAAAGATATTGTTGAATGAAGAGGAAATAACAAAAAAGAAAAACCTGAAAGAGACGAATTTGTTATAAAAGCAAAAAAAAACTTTTTTTTTTCCAGACGAGACTCGACGATTACAGAAATAAAGTTTGGATTCCGACGAGTCGTTACGGCCACAGTGTATTTACTTTTGAAAGGACGTTTTTCTCTGCGTGTTTATTCATCGTTTTCTGGGACAGAACTTTCTTTGCCAGCCTTTTTATGTGGAAATGTTTTTCACGGCCAACGCTCTGGTCTTGGACCGGTCGTTCACAGATTTCGAGCTGGTTTATCAGTTTTACTCCGTCAGCAGAAAAATAACATAATTAATGGTAAAAAAGAAAAAAATCAAGTCTAATTCTGCAGCTCTGACACACACACACACACAGACAGAGGATGTGTGTGTGTGTTTACAGTTGAATTATCTAATTATTTATGAATAAACGCTGCTATAATTATTATTTTATATTATTTAAAGACTTTCATCCAACAGATCACGGCTGTAGGAGTCAGTCTGTGATTCACTGAAATATTGTGATATTTTATTTCATGATTTTTTATATTCCTGGTGTTGGTTCATGTTCTTTTTCTTTTCTTTCTTCTCCAGTGATTCCTAACGTCGATCCCTCTGTTTCAGTGTCAGGAACTGATGTTCAGATATATATTTATATCTAAACATCAATATATCGTCACGACTATCGTATCTCGTCTCGTAGCCTGATTCCTGCCGACAGCTGTGGGCGAAGACTTCTGTTTTCGTACGCTAACGTTGTCGTACATGACGTGGTGTCACCGACTGACGACGCGGTGGAACAGTGTGTATTCTAATGTGTAAATTCACAGTTTGGTGGAAGTTCTTCTCCAGACTCTGAGCCCTCAAACACAGACACACCTGATGGGACGCTGCTCTAATCAAAGGAAGCACAGGCCGCCAAAGTGATTTGATGTTGTGGAGCGAGGATCGATGAGAGAGAGAGAGAGAGAGAGAGAGACATTCACGGAGCACAGGAGGAGTCGTCAGGAACATTTCTCCTGAAGGAAACTGAGACGCCTACACTCGCTGCCTCACACCTCGTCTGCTTCTCTCCAACACCGACCGACTCACCTACGCACCATTGTTTCCTACATCCACACCAACAGGAGAACCAATCCCACACACACACACACCCCCCCCCACACACAGTCTGGGTTTCATCAGTTGTGGGGACCTGCATTCCCCAGGTTTTTACCCAAACCTACGTCTGATCCTTAATTTATTTTAGACAAAAACAAATGCACTTCATCTTGATTTGAAAACATTGCCCCCTTCACACCCCCCCCACACACACACGCACACACACGTCACCCCCCCTCCTCCTCTCATCTCTGTTGAGTTCTGTCTTCTTAAAGACCTAACTTTTCCTCCCAGCGTGAGGCAGCGTTAATGACAGACTGAACCTTTAACACATCAGCACCTGCTGCTGCTGCTGTTACTGCTGCTGTTACTGTTGCTGCTGTTACTGTTGCTGCTGCTCTGTGGTCCATACAGTAAATTCAGACGTTGTATCTAAGGTGTGTGTCATGAATCTGCTTAAA